TACAGAATTTGGCTAAACTGTCGGTTTGTTTACAATGTCTCGAACTGTCTGATTTCTTGCCTCCTCCCTCAGACTTTGTGTAGCGTTGTTGCTGTTTCAAAATCTTAACAATTATTTTGGCGAGTACAATGTTATCATAACAGATTGAAACCATTGCCAAAACTATGAAAATAAAACCCAGGTTGTAATGAACCCAAATTATGCTGTACACAGCTGGTAGCTGGTTATCGCAGAACAGTGCAGAACTTGTCAGTTTGGTGAGACAAAAAAAAATGTGGGCAAGGAACTCCTGTTTATGCCGCCACAGGACAAAACTCGGTGTAATGTGGCTTCACGCTGGGTAGCCAACATGGCAGAGGTAACACATACAAATCTGGAGCACAAGGACGCTAAACGTTGCTACACTGCATCAGTCAAATGCAAGACTCTTCCACCGTTCAGGGGGGTAAGAGTAAGCCTGCTGTTTTGCCTGGCTACTAAACAAAACCTCGAATGACCTACTTTCATTCCTACCCCAATTCCTCCACCCCTCGCCTCCTCACACACGAACAGCGCAGCTAATACACTGGGACTGAATGAGGATTGAAAGTGTGAAGTGGATCACCCAATCACAAGACACACAACCCCATGCTGATATCAGCTTCCTTTCCAAATGCAGCGGGAGGCTTTCAATCAGACCGTTTCTAACCCAGAGGCCAGTCCAGTCAAAAGAAAAAAAAAAGTAAAAAAATAAAAGTAAAAAAAAAAAAACAACAGCAAAAAAAAAAAAAAACATCATATCCCACGAGGCTATGTGTTTAGAATACAAACAAGCTGTTTGGGATGAGAGTGCGCAGTGGCCCACTGGTAAATCACTGCCCTACAGGCTATCAACAACCTCCACCATGCAAAACACAATTCAATTATGGACGGTGTAGCAAAAATAGAGTACCAGGAAACATTTACAACAGCAACAGTAATTGTGTTTGGATCCCATTCCACAGGAAGTCATTATCATAGATTTCAAGAATATCTTTATCATCCAAGTTAAGAAAGAATTTCCTCCTCTGGTTGGGATAATATTTGTGTTGGTGTCAGTGAAAGGACAGAGAGCAGAGCGCTGTGGAGAGGGGTGGAGTCACCGACAGAAGAGGGAGGTGCTTCCAACACCTCGCAAAGAGAATCGTCTGAAAAGCAGAAGCGACTCGCTAATGTCCACTCCCCTCCCTGCCCAATCAGCAATCGGCTTCCGGTCAAACTTTGCAGCTCAGGTAGAGGTTTAGTTGAAAAGACTCCATGTCTGGTGGCAACATGGCAGACTGCTTTCCTCTTCTTGTGAGGAGAGAAAGTTCCATGACAGTGCTGATGTCTGCAGCAGGAGAGCCTTGGACTCAAATTTCCTTACACGCTGTGAAAAGCGATCCACACCACAAGTCCACACCTCTTCCTCCAGTTCAATATCCCAGCTGAAATACAGAAGACCGGCCTGTCATTTTGTATTAACCCGAGAAGCAGAGCTATCCCACAGAGGCCCCTGCTAACCGCTATCAGATCAGCTGATAATGACTTTCTTTTATTACGCCCATGATGGGGAGGATGACCCCAGCGTTGCGAAATCCACCTACTTAGTGAACTGATAGATGCTGGCAGCCAATTTGTAATCAAAAGGAGGGCAAATGGCTGTTTATTAAATCTACAGTTGTGCAGACTGAAGCATAGCCTAGGAGCGTGGCTTTGGCAGAGCGGCAAGGGGCAACATGGCAGCTTTAAAGCTTGTGAGGACAAAGAGACGGAGGGATTTCTCTTTGCTCTATTTATTTTCCGAATAAACAGTTTTTACACAGTGACTATCATTCTGAAGGTCCTTTATATAAGACTCTAAGTTCAGCATCAACTGTAATCCTCCATCCAACCTGACACTATCCATCAAACACTTCAGACGCACAGCACTAATGCAAACATCATCAGGTCAACAAAGTGCAGATCTACTCTTTGTCACGCCTCTCTTACTGCTTCTTTCAAATGTCGTAACTCTATTACACAGGATTGTTAAAACATCACTCTGACTCTTCAGGTCATCTAGTTAAGAAGCGCTACCTGGAAAATTGTGGCCCTCGACGCTTCCGTGCAAGAAACCTATGTTTGCTCCTCCAGGCAGAGTCAGTTGGACACTTCATGCTGTCTGGCATCTCCCCTGTTCCTGTCACCGTGTGATGGTTTCATTGTGGCCCCTCCCAAACGAGTGTTTGACCCCCCTTAGGGAGACCAGAGCCCCTTGTGAGCGAGGTGATGACTAGTGTGGGTCAGCATGGGCTTGTTTACACATTACAGACCACACAGACAAGACACGGTTAAGACAGCATATGTACGCCATGTGTGTCTCAATTACAGGCAAGCCGTGACTGGTCAACTGCTTAGCACAGCCACCAGCCGTGCGGGAAAGATAGACTCAGGCTTTGTTGCAAAAAATCTATTATATGTTCAATGTTACTTTCATACACTATCAGGACAGTGTGAGCACTGCTGTCTTAATATACCACAACAAAAACATGTAATAGAGATCATCTCTCAGCAGAGGGCTCCAGCCTGGTCGAGGTGTGAGGGCACAGGAGAGTCAGAGATGTGGGAAATGTTTGCATCTTTGCATGATATTGTCTGTTTGGTCTGGTCCTTCCATTCAGCTCGGCTTTTATTGGGACATCAGTGCAAGAAAAAAATTTCTGAAGCAGACCACGACGTGTTTATTGCCATAGTTCCATCAAGCTGTTAACGACTAATGTCTTGATTTTAGGGCTGTTTTTATTGTTCTCTAACTAACTCCATCTTGAATCTCGTATAGTAATGGAGTCTGAATCTAAATGTAATGGTGTCCGCCCTCTTCTGTCTTTTACACATTTGCTGTCTTTGAAATAGTGAACTGCTTTTGCTGAAAAGAAGTGATTTTATTACAGCTTGGTTGTGTAATGCCTATGTTCACTCTTACTATAATGAAAATACGACTGTGTGAAGTGGGAAAAATATCAGAATTTGTTTTTGTTTGTTTTTTTACTTTCACCAATATACTGTTTCCCTCTTGTTTTTAATGCTTGATCATAGTGTGAGATCATAGATGGAAGGTATAACTTCATTATTTAATGCAAAAATATATATAAACAACAATGTATACTGAATGTACTGTTTTCTTTATATATATATATATATATATATATATTTGTATGACTGAAAAAGTATCTTTTTCTTTCCATGATTACAACATTTCTCTTTAAGACACAGAAGTGTGAAATTACATGTACACATGCTTGTTTGTAGCCATACAGTTATTATTAAGTGTAAACTATAGAGCCAGTCATTTTCCAGCTCATCACTCATTCAAAAACACAGATACATTCTCACTCCATTACTGCAGCAAAGCAATGGCTGAATATCAAATTAATAAAGATTGACACTTGAATAAGCTTCAGCTGAGACATCAAACCTAAATCAGTGTAAACTGTAAAATATAAGAGTCTTTTCATATCCAATTTGTGCATGTGCATAACTGTGTGTGTGTGTGTGTGTGTGTGTGTGTGTGTGTGTGTGTGTGTGTGTGTGTGTGTGTGTGTGTGTGTGTGTGTGTGTAGGTGTGTGTGTGACCACAAAGAAAAACAAACAAGCACACGACAACGCTAACTAGCCCTGAGAGCTCAGGGCATCTTTCAAGTGGCTGGGCCGACAGTGCAGCCTCTCATCTCCCAACCTAACCGCACTCACAGGTCACAACGAGAGCTTTGATCACTGCAAAAATCTGTTTCCCATTCACATGCTCAGCATGCTCATTGATTTTCCATAAGGAGGGCTGAGGAGCTGAGATGACTTTGGTTGAGTGAAGCCTCCCATCTCCTCTTAACACAGGTATGCATGTGTTGCACTATCAGAGGAGGTTTAACAGCCAGGGCTGCTACATTCCCGGGGTTTAAGGACAACAAGCCCCGATGAGCAATGTGAAACAAGTGGCATTAAAGCCCAGAACAGAAAGATAAAATGCATTTGTCAGTTTTGTGGCACAGGCTCAGAGATCATCTAGGGGAAAATGTTTGACATAAATAACTAGTGATGAGATGAATCACTGTCATTGTATCCTCAGCTTCCCTTTCTCATCAGCACTTGAAAGCACTGTTTCTGAAATAGCATCCGTTTAGCACCAAAATACCAAATCTGGTTCTTCATTTTCAAATGACAAAAGACAGTTACAACTGCATCTATACTGTATAATAAAGCATCACCTTGATCTGATGGATGCAAGGTCTTCAAGGGAAAATGTGGTGAAACTGATCATTTTAGACGAGGATAACATAGAGTGGGGTCCAAAACCACTTTCCCATTCACTTGAATGGGTATCAATTTTATTTAAGAAAAAAGAAATCTTGAGGCATTATATAAACAATGTCACTGTGACGATAAATTAGAAAAAAATATTGTAAATTGTTATAATTGCATATTTTCCAGCCAATAGCTACAAATGGCTCCAGATATGAGTCCAAAAATGATCTGTGCAGATCAGAGCAATAACAACTGATCAAGATCAAAACACAACCAAGCAAAGTGTAATACACACACTGCAACCTAAAACACAATCACCACAAGTAAACACATAATAATAATAATAGACATAATAATAACAATAATAATAATAATAATAATAATAGACGTAATAATAATAATAATAATAACAATAGACCTAATAATAACAATAATAACAATAATAACAATAATGTGTAGGTGACTCACTATACATATCACTTACAGGACATTTCTAAAAGCTATGTAGCCTGCAATATTAATAGCATATCTAAACAGTAATAATAATAATAATAGCTTAATAATAATACTAAAATAATACTCTATTCTAATAAGAGTCCAACGGTCCTCACTTCATTGACATTGCACTGCGCCCTCCTTTCTCGTCTCAAACATAAAACTCGTCATTGGAAGAAGAAAACAAGCCAGAAATAGAAAAGTTGAATGGGACAGAAACTTCTTACCTGGTCCCTCTGGATGCATGGCAGAGAGGTCCGGCGATGTGACTTACTGTTGGACTGACTGTGTGCCATGTCTGACGCTATCACAGAACTGGACCTCCTGCGCCTTTTAAATACAGGGATCTCTTCCCTGGCTCCAGTCACGGGGGTGCAGCCCTCCTTGTGTCTCCCTTGGTTGGGAAGGAGCTTGTCAGCATACCTCGCCAGCAGGATGCCCAGCACTCCAACCAGGTACGCTACGTACGGTCTCCAAGTGGCCCTGACTTTGTGTAGTGAGAAGAGTGAAATAGTCCTGATTATGCTGATGAAAACGATCACAGATATGCCCTGATTCAGCCGTGCTACCATGAGTGCGCCGGTGGCCACGCATACGAGCACGACCACTGCCGCTGTCGTGAATGAAAACAGCTGCTCATCTGTCCCGTCCAGGAGAGACCACGCCGCTGCTTCGCCCAGGTGGCACACGGTTAGGAGGGATAGGGCGGTCTGGATTAGAACCCCACAGCGGATTAAGTACACACCGACCCAAAAGAAGGCACATAGGAGGGTGAACAATGGCGAAACCACACTCCAGCAAGTTTGTAACAGCTCCGCCGCGCAGCCTGTAACGAAGTGAAAGGGAGACGATGAATGCGAGAGTGTGTTGTCAGCGCTGCTGCTGCTGCTGCTGCTGCTGGCTTCAGCTCTCCAGTCTGCACATTTGACCAACAGAGCGAGAAAAACCGAAAGCGACCCCACACACACCGCACTCCGGAGTCTCTGGGAACTCCATATTTTTGTGAACATTAGCCTCACCCACGACTCGTAGTCTCGGTCACGGCACAGTGGGATGACACATGTTTTCACATAACCATTGCGATCCAGTGCGCCGAGGCTTTTTTCACGAGTGCTGCTCTGCGCACAGGTACTGTCAGATTCTGCAGTCATCGCCATCACTCATGGCAGATATGAAGTATGAGGAAGTCTATAATGCATCTATACCAGTGTGGTCATGGGACAGGACATGAGTTAGTGACAAAACAAACATCATTTATTGTAGGCATAATGAAAAAGCACAGTGAATACGCACAGATGCGTCTCCATTTACGCATGGAGATGTGCTGCCACTGAACGCATTCTCTTTGTTTTTCCAGGTGTGGGTTCAGACACTGTTACCCGAAACAGCGTGAAAAGAGCCTGAGTGACAGAGTAACTCAGATATCATACAGATCTAGGGCATTTGCTTCTCTGCACACACGCGTCCTGCTTTGCCCTCCTTTGTGGCGCGCGGACTCTTTGACTTGTGCTGTCATCCTCTTCGCTTTGTGGCTCCACGGCCCGGTCCGTGCAGCAGCAACAGCAGTGTTCGCAAAACACCAGCCCCGTTCCGTGAACATTCAGCGATGAACCGTGCTCTCTGTGTCCTTTGTCCGGCCACTTCCCGATCTCTCCTGAAACGGCAGCGGATCCCGTTACTTTCGAGGATAAACGCTGCTGAGGAATGTTAAGATGTTGGAGTGAGTGTCCGGCAGGTTATTGATCGGCTTGTTGGAGGGACAAATCCAGAGTGTTTGTCACCAGCTCTCCAACCAGCCGTGAGTCCTCCGCTCATTCACACCCCCGAGTTCCGACTCCACACAGGGAGCAAGATATTGCAGCAGCAGTGAAACCCCCAAATCCTTCCTCAGCCAGCCCAGCAGGCGTTGTCCTCTCCAGATCTGACTTGTGTTTAGATCTTTTCTCTCATTAAAATTTTTAAATATGAATTTATTCTAATGCTTTTTTAAAAAAAATATAAAAATCTTATTTAAGCTGTAACAATTCCTTTTGTATATATTGAGGCTGACCTATATTTTCCTAGTGAGTTTCTGAATGGAATAAACATGGTGTATTTAGGAACAAACATTTCAGGCCATGTTTTATCTCAGTTGGTGCATTCTGATTTGTGGTTTTGGTGTAACATTTCTCTAAGGTTACCAAGCCAAGTTGAGGGCTTCAAAATGCCTTCAAATGAATTCATTTTTAATTGAGGAGAAGTGTCTAGATGCTGACGAGACAAATGGGAGCTCTGCAGGCAAACTGTTTTGCAGTGAAATTCCCAGAATAGTCCTGTGGTTGCCCTACAGCTTGACTCCCTGTCCCCACTCCACCAGGTCATTGAAATATTCATCCTACTTTAAGTGTCACTGATGATGTGTTGCGTCACAGTGGAAGCTCTCCATCAATGTTTCAGCACAGGAGACCTTCTGTGTGCATGAGTACATGTGTTCACAGTTCAGGAGGCACACGTGTGTTCCCTTAGATGTGCATGTAATGCTCTCATGGGATCTCACCCTCTCACATAAGGTTGGATATGTGCACCATATGCAAATATATAGACATCCACAGCTAAGCAAACACATGGTATCTCGCCCACGTTTGCTGATGCACATACAAAGAAGCTGACGCACAAACTGCATGTAGCCAGTCTCTGCCTCCTTCTTAACTCTGCAACTTTGCTTTCGCTCTTTCTTCTCTCTCTCTCTCTATCACACACACACACACACACACACACACACACACACACACACACACACACACACACACACACACACACACCTTTATCCTCTACATTTAACCCTGAAGCTTTTCAACATCTGGTCTTCTCACAGCATCTAAATGAAGACAAAGTGTTGTCTTTTAAAAGGCTCTGTCATGCCATGCTCTTGTTTTTGCAGCCCCATGTCCTTCATTAATTCATGGGAATCCTGCAGCCATTGAGCAGGACTCATGGCTGTGATGCTGATGTTCTTGAAATTTTGGCTTCTTTGTTTGATCCCCTCAATCCTTTCTCTACCTGTGCTCATTCCCACACAGGTTGGCACAACTTTTTTCCATCCATCGGTGTAGACAGAGTCCTGTGTATCCCTTGTCAGCTGTGATTAGCGGAAAGCAAGGGAGAAGACGAGCTAACAGGGAGCGATAGGAGCAGGAGGAGGCCAGGTCCTGTCCATCATCTCTCAGCACATGCTCACTGAGTGCCAGACAGTCCTTTCAATGCGGTGCATCACACAGGACAGCTGCTGGCTCCAAGTGTGTGCAGATTTCTTCAACAACATCTGTTTTTTCACCTTATCAGTGCCCATAGGTAACTTTCTCTTTGGGAGAGTTGAAACAATACAGCTTCATCCGAATGGTTTATTTCATGGTTGACAGGAACAGAAACATTTCCTCCTCACAAACTGTAGATAAGAGCAAGACAAAAGAGAGAGGAGTTGACATTGGCCAGAAAACAGGAATATACAAGGATCCATTTTACTTGTGGGATATGTTGCCGCACTCATGTTGTGACATTGTTGGTCCTCTTTTACATTTCAGGGGCAAATCCATCATGCAAGGAGCAAAAGGTTGTCCAAATATATGTTACATAAAAAATATAAAATGACTCAGATTATAGGCTGGAGAACATGAGAAAAACTATAGTTATGACAGATGTGAAATAGCTGGAAGAACTCCTGTGCTATCAAAAGTGGAAGCCAGCAGCTGGCCTTGTTTTCCTGCAAACTGTCAATTGCCAGGAAGAATGATACTTGTCATAACCTGCATCCTTCCCCTATGGAAAGCATCACTTCCTGCTTCATTTGTAGTTTGTGGCAGATGAAGATAAACCACTTCAGTCCACAGCAACTACTACACCCAGCATCTAAAGACAAGACCATTGCAATATTTTCTTTCAGTTGTCTCTACAAACATGTCTACAGGCCATTCTGAATTACCCGGAAGAATTTTAATGACTCGGGAATGCACACGTAACAGACTTACCCTATTTGGCAATGCCATGGTCCATTGTAAAAGAGGAATCTTTTATGAGAAGCAATTCATCAGACATCTGGTTTGGATGTTGCATGGGGGGCGGTCATCTGTTGTAACCTCGCTTAGACCTGTGCTGGCCTCTGGGGCTGCAGATGACTGATCTGATGTATACCCAGGAAGTGTGAATGTCCAAAGGCTGGTTTCCTACAGAGCTGTTTACTATTAGACCCTGTCACCCTACAGCCCCCTATACCCTGCTCATATCAATATGAAACGAACTGATGATATACCTCTCGCTTGATTTACACATGGAAGTCTGGTTTTAAATACCTTTCAAAAACCTTTCAAATCAAGAGCAGCTGTCTGTTTGATCACACTGACAAGAAGTGTAATAAGACACAAAAAGCAGATTGAGCTATCAAGTGCTAGACTTCTTCAAGATTGTTATTATAGTTTATACATCGAATACAGTGTAATTCAGATTTGAAAGACTAAGGGACAGAAGGAAAAAAGAGGAGCAAGCAGCTGAATGGAGTGATGGAAACAAGTTTACATTGTGTTTGGCACTTGTGTTCACAGAGTGAGATCCACTGCAGCGTGTTTACCAGCCCTCATGGGCAACGGTCGGCTCATGGCCAAGTTTCCACTGAGGTGCTGTGGACACCCGTCTCCACACATACACACACACGAACACACACACATACATACAAATGCCACCGCCATCATATACACAAAATTGGATGTGCACACACTTCCTGACACAGTCATTTATCTGCCCATGTGTGTGTACACACAGTGCCCACAGAACAGGGATCTCCTTGGCTGGGCACCCGAGGAATCAAAAGCTTCCTCTTTCTGTAGAAACATGCATCTGACATGACGTTGTACTATGCTGTATATACAATCAGAGCCAAAATGGAGCAGGAACCTACAGCAGAGCCAACTGCATTATGTATGAGTCTGGGTCAATGATTTTAACATCTGCCAAACTCTTCCTCAATATTCCACTTGAAATCGTGTACAACCGAGGGATTCACAGGCAGGAGAGAGCTATAGGATTTAAATGTCTAGATACAATTTAAAAAAAGCCTATATATATACTGACATACATGCTTAGGTCAAAGCTGATGAGACAATACTATCAATGCATACTGTAATAGAGAATTACAAAAATATGTGATCTACAGGGGCAACAGTTGAAGCATAAATCGACTGAAGACTAGTTGGCAGCAATTTAGATAATCAATTTTTCAAGCAAACCTGCCAAACATTTGTTAGTCCCAGCTTCTCAAACAGACAGGATTTACTTCTCCTTGTTTTACTTTACAGGAAACTGAATATCTTTGGCTTGTTGGTCGTACCAAACAAGACCACTGGAAATCATTACCTTGGGCTTGAGGAAAGTGTAACAGGCATTTTTCACACTTTTCTAATGTTTTATAGACCAAACAGTGGCTTGATTAATAGAGAAAATAATCTGCAGATTAACAAATGATGAAAATAATCCACTGCTTACAGTTCTCCACAGTTTGCTGTATATGAGGACAGGCTCTGACTGCCACCTTCGTTCTGTACTTGTTGGTAAATAGCACTGCTGAGTCTCCACTCATATCAGACGGTAACATACTGTATCCAGAATAAGGGTTATAAAATGTCACACCAATACAGGAGTCCATATATACGACACATATACAAACATATGCAAACATATATGCTCATATAAAGTAGATGATAGTTTTTGAAAGCTGATGCCAGTAAAAATAAGTTTGTACTCACAATTCCAATAGCTATTTTTGTTCTGATATCATGTGGATTTTCGCCAAATGTCATAGCCTTGTGTCATCACCTTAAGATTTCCTCTGAAATTAAATTTAACCAGTGGGGCAGTTTACTTTGTAAAATGTAACATAGACTACATTTTTACTGACTTTAAATTAAATTTATATTTATAGAAAACAATATTGAACAACCAAACAAATCAATGAAATATGCACAAAACTGCTTCAGGCAAATATCTATAATATTGATGCTAGATACTATATTATATCATATAAAAGGTCAAATTGGCTGCAAGTCTAATCATAGCATATGCAAATAGTCAGTGGTGGAATTTAACCAATTTACTCAGGTGCTGTATGTCAGTGCAGTACTCAAACTTTACC